AAAAAGCTGAAATTATTATCTGTGGGAGATATTAACATGAACGTTGATAATCTTTTCTTTTCAGGAGCTCATCATATCTAGACTCAGACTGAACACTGTTCTTGGTAATCTCTTATTCTGTCTTCACACTTTACAACGCAGATTTCAAAATGTGGTTAAAATATAGGTTGTCCACACTTTTTTCCAGCAAAGTAGCCAGTATACCTACACTTACAAGTAGGTTGCATTTTAGGTTGTAACTATTAGTATGATTTATTAAGCGCACTAAAAATTTTAAAATACTAAAAAATTTTAAAAACGTAGGGACTCAGATTAGGGTGTCTGTCTTATCTCACAAGTGTGAAAGTTTGAGTCTGCCAGAGGAATGACTCCAGAACTTTCCTTTTCATTTTGATGCATGATAAGTTTAAAGCTCAGAAGAATGTGGTCAAATTTGAAAGACAATAAAGGAAATGTATTAAAGTCTAATTCTCCAAAAAAGAGACCAGAAATCCACATATAAGGATCCTAGGTAATTTGGAATGCCTCACACAAAGAGAGGTTTTCCTAAATACTCATCTGCTTCATCCTATTTCATCACTGTTTATCCCTTCCCTCAGCAAACATTTACCGGGTGCTTTCTGTGCACAGAGGGTGTGCTACATGCTGGAGTTACACAGAAGGTGTGAGTGCTGCTCTCAAAAAGTGTCTGGTCTAGAGATGGTTACCTGGAGATGGTTAGACAGATGGTTACCACTGTTCAGCAGTGCGGTCTAGACGCTCAGGGAATCTGAACCATGTCTAGCCAGCTCAGACTGGGGGAATCAGGGATGACTCCTGGATGAGGCAGACCTGCGCTCCTGGAGACTTAGAGACCAAGTACAACTTAGCGGTGGAGTTAAGTGAGAGGGGGGATCATTCAGGCAGAGGCTGCTAAGGAGCAGCGGCAGGGAAGTGAAGGTGTGAGAAAGACAGCCCTCAGGGAAACACAGCCACAGTGGCAGGCCAGGATGGCAGGGGAAGGCTAGCCAGGAGGACAGTCTGAGATGCCCTTCTGAGGTGGGTAGTCAGACCAGGACACAACTGGGCGAAACCTTCAAGTGGCTTGCCACATCGCTCAAAGAGCAGATACCTAAAAGGCCCTACATAGTTGGCTCCCTGCCTCCTGTCTGATCTCTCACTCCATTCTAACTACTATCAGCTCTTTGTCATTAATTCCTCAAACCCTCTGGGGAGTAAGCACTCACTCTTCCCTCACACTGAGACAATCCTCCTCTATTGGTGGCCTGGCTCACTTTCTTCTCCTTCAGGGCTTTGCTCAAATGCCACCTTCTCCTTAGGTTTTCTCTGAACATCCTAATGAAAATTGTCATCCTCTCCTTCCCTATCCTGCCTTCAACACCTTCCCTATCCCTTTTTCTGCCTTAGTTTACTCCAGTAGCACTTACTGCCATAAGACTTTCTGTGTACCTGACTTACTGGTATATTGAACGTAAGCTCTATGAGGGCACGGGTTTTAGTCTGTTTTGATTCTTGATGTAGCCTCAGTGCCTGGAACGGTGTATGGTGTGCACTCCATAAATGTTTCTCAAATACATTCTAATATGTTGGGATTTCTAGCAAAGTTGAGTAATTGACACATGACTTAAGTATTTAACTTTGCACATTAATCAAAACAAAAAATTAATTACAATGTCATAAAATTATATTTTGTACATTCTTCTCATTTTATATATAGTACATTGCTATATACATTATGTATTTATACATACCTCCTCCTATACAGGACGTTACACGCTAACTTATGTATATTATATCTTGTTGTCACTCTGGGAACTTTCCAGAATAATTTTGACTGTACCGGATTTATGTTTTATTAGCTACCTTTGGAGCCTAATTCTCATGTAAGATGCAACTCCTTATAATTCTGAAGGCAATGTTGAGGCTCTGAAATATTTTAAACAAGAGCTTGGCTCAATTAGATGTATATGTTTGGAAAGATCAATCTGTCTGCAGTGGAAGAATACAGTGGAGGGGATTGTATTAGAGGCAGGGCAATCACAAATGCTGCCAAATTCTCCTCAAAAGATGATGACAACCTGCACTAAGATAATGGCTCCGGGGATGGGAAGAAGCAGATGTATGTAAGAGATATGAGGAGATAGATACACTTTATAGAACTTAGTGACGAACCTGTGGACTTCAGCAAGCTTACTCTAAAGACTCCTGTCAGTTATGCGGTCTATCCATGTGTCACCAAGCTGGGAAAGAGATCCTGAAATATTTGCAAAATTGTGCTTATCTATAAACAGTTTATGGTTACATAAACACAAATGTTGGATAAGACTAAAACTGAATAGTTTTGTATGGAGAGTGAAGGCAAGAAAACAGAGTTAAGACTGAGATAGTCTTGTGACTCTAATTAGAACACAAATATTAATGAAAATAAAGATATTTCAGTCAGTTTATACCTGTAGGAAATCATCTATTCAAAATAAGGTTATGCTTCCAAAAATCATTTTGGGTTTCTTGTTTGGAGGTAGGATATATTTCCTAAAGATATGAAGTTCTAAGATGTAGTTAGGTTTATCCCAACATATTTAAATCAAAATGTAGCTAAAAAGCTATACATTAACATAAACAAATACCAGAAAGACTACTGTTGAAGAACACTAATTAAATAATACAGAAAATATGAAATAATAAGGCATTTAATATTAATTTTTAATGTTGATGCTTGAAGACTAGTAGGTTGGATTAGATGAAGATAAGGACATAAATGGAGACTGGAGATTATGAAGCGAATTTCTGGGTCCTTTCAAAGATTATAGCACTGGGTCTTTGGCTTATATAATTTAGAAGATTAGGAGTTTTAGTCATGCAATGTATGTCAGCTGAGTGGCATTGCTGCCAACAAAATTAATGCCTTTTTAGACTGTATTAGTACACGTATTGTGTCGAAGTGGAGTGCACTGAACTTAACCACTATGCCGCGGGGCTGGCTCCCCTCAATCCAACTTTGGTTTTCGTTGGGCTAATTATGTACAGGGCGAGATGATGAGAGATGGGGTTGGGAGAATTTAAGGAGTGACTGAACTTGAAAGATGAAGTTCACTAAAGGAGATTAATAGAGTGTAAATAGGAGAGGGAATGAACACTTGAGAGACGTGAGGGAACGCATGAGTGGTACTGGAACATTTCTAGCCATTATTGCCTCTAAGAGCAACTTTCTTCGTTATGTGCCTTCTTCACTTCTTATTTTTAGCATTCAGTTTATCATTCAGTTTCCAGGAATCAAAGATCAAGAAGGTTGTTTCCAGTTGAATGGGATGATTATGAGTCTTGGACTAAACATGGAATGGCCAACAGATCATGCTGATGTCACAGTTGCAGTTCTTTCCTACATAAGTTATAACTTTAAAAAGTTTAATAACAGACTCATTTTCAAAAACTACAGTAAAAAGCAACACCTGGCCTTCATTGTTAAGTGTGTATTGAATTTATTCTCTTCACCTTGATTCGTTTGAGGATGGCTGGCTCTCCTACCATGTAGTGAGTCTACTTGCCCGGACAGTGTGTAACCATGCCTTATAAGAAGGACACCATCTTGGTTCCCAGGCACTGAAAGGTTTTCTCATTCTTGAAAGTTCTTAGCATCTGGGCTGATTCAGCAATCTCTGCCCCGAAAAGGAAGAAAAATTAATCTCCCGACCTCATTAAGTCAAGCAACACTTTGTCCTGGTTGATCTCAAGTGTTTCGGATTTGAAAATGACTTCTTGAAGTTTCAAGTTGGGTCTAACATCTGTACCACAGGCTTCTTTAGATGTAGTTCTTGGAGGTGCCCGTTTTATGTGTTTCCAGAGGTGGATTTTCTTGTATGTGTTAGAAAGGTAAGTAAAAAGTAAAGGTTAAGGGAAATTCCAACCATGTCAAATTCTTCTCCATTTGGTTCAACTTCCTGCACAGAAACAGTTTGAGACTACACTTCAAGACATTCTTTCCTGGAGAGATGCTTTTGAGTAATGCTGTCCTTTCATTCCACTGAGTCCTGTTTGTTTTCAACCTTCTTTGCCGCACCCGTTTGAAAGCAAATTATCTTCCCTGAACTTGGAGAATCATGAATGATGCCACGTTTGTTTGCCAACTCTTTTTTTTTTTCCTGAGGAAGATTTGCCCTGAGCTAACATCTGTGCCAGTCTTCCTCTATTTTTTTAGTATGTGGGCCACCAGCACAGCATGGCCACTAACAGTGGTGTGGGCCTGGGAACTGAACCTGGCCCACTGAAGAGGGGCAGGCCAAACTTAACCATTAGGCCACTGGGGCTGGCCCTCTTTGTTTGTTTTTTAATCTTTCTGCTTACTGGGCCCCAGGGGTGTCATAAGAAAACAGAAGACTCAGGGACAAAAAGTTTTAAGAAAAGAAAAGTAGTTTACTTGGAAAGGAAGACTAGAATTCAGAAGGATTGGCTCCTCAAAGGATAGATGGCTATTCGAGGGATAAAGTGTCAAAATTATGAAGGTTAGCATTTGACTGCACATGGAAAGGAAAAGAGCAGTTTCTTCACTGATTATCGTATTGTGTCCATCGCAAAAGCATCAGGGAGAAAGCGGTTTTTGTGAGGGAGTTAGGAACTCATCAGCAAGGCTCCCAGCTTCCTGTGCTTAGGGGCCTGCAGGCAGACACAGTATCCCTGTTTTTATCTCTGTTTTTGGTTTTGCTTCTTTATCTCACGTGCAAAGTGCCTTTTTTCCCCTAACTGTGGGACATGGTGTGATGTACACACTTACTCAAAATGGCAGCACATTTACTCTCTCAATGGAAAATTAGACTTTGGGAGGCAGTAAAGCTCGATTCCTTTGAATCACTGACTTAGACTGGTATCGGGGAGGAAGATCTTTTCTTATCCAACTTCCATAACTCTTCCATTTGCCTTAAGAACAGTAGTTTATTGAGACCACTTATCCCTCCATGGTAGCTAACCACTTCCATCCACTGGCATAAGTTTTCTTTCTTTACCAGGATTCTTCATATCTACGGTAGCATCCATGCCGGCTAAGGTTATGTCCACCACATCAGAGAACAGGCTCATGGCATCAGCACTTGATTATGTGCTATGTGGTCTTAAAATTGATTTGTGAGAGAACCTTGCTTCTAGAATAAGATGGGTGAGTATCTCCCATGCACAGTAAATAGTACTGTTCATTTCCTACTAAGTGAGATTGATCACATGAAGAGGTGAGGTGTCTACAGCTGGCTGGCCTCGGATTAGTTACCGTTAATATTGCCACTGGTCAACCCAGAAAGCCAATGGTTAGGAAAGGGCCTACAGTTAACCACGGAGAATTTGCCACCATTGTCTCAACCACAAGGGAGATACTGTGGTAGTTTCATCCCAGCTGTTGAATTGCTCTGAGATGACTCTAATGCCCGTAGTTTAAAAATTATAAAGACTGTAATTCTGGCCCACAACAGGAAAAGCACTGCTAATATGGCTAATACTATAAATCTGTTGCTCAGTAAGAAGCATTTGGAAAATATTTATTTTTTATCTAATCAGATGAATGATTAACTTTTGAATAGAATCATTAAAAATATAGTCCTGTGAAACCAGGTAAGAGAATCTAAATAACGGTCATTATTCTGAAACTGCTCCTGCATTATCTCCATCAAGTTTTTTTACAATTAAGCTTCTAAGCTTAATTCTAAGCTTAACCCAGGAATCTGAAATATTTAGCTACTTCTTGAGTGTCCTTAGCTGTTGGTCCTAGAATGGGAAATACAGTGAACCCTTTGGCAAATTACCCAGCAGTATGTGTAGGAGTTGCTTTTAAAAACGCAATTGATCATTTGCTCTTATAAAATATCCTTCACAGACACTTGCCTCTGTAAAAACACATTTAACATTAAGAGCCTGACTTTAATATGGATTTTTGGTCTTAAATCAAACTGTTGTGAAAGAAGAAAAGGTGGGTGGGAAGAGAAAAAGAGAGTTAGGTTTGGTTATGAGTGTGCTATGTTCCTTCTGCTTACTTATAAAAGGAACAGATTTCCTTTATCTTACTTACAATAAAACACCAAAGACTAGTAGAAAAGATAGTTAATAGATTTCACCGCTCAGAAAAATTAAGCATCACCAATGTGATTTAGGAAGAACTTACCAGAGTTAAGCTGCCAATATTGAGTGGCTGAATGAATACTCTACTGATATTTTGCACATGGGGAATTGATGTATTTTAGTTGCCATAAAAACTGAGATCAAAGAATCTTGCAGCTTTCTCGATGATTGGAATGGAGGAAAGCCAGAAAAAAGAATAATTAATGTTTACAAGTGTAAGATTTCATGAATGGAATCAGCCTTTGCTTTTATAATTCAAAAGTTCTGTGGAGAGGAGCTAACAGTCATCAATGAAACGAGGCCTTACACCTACCTTACCCTGATGAGCTTACCCATTAGTGTACTCAATGTTTCATTAAGCATGTGCTATGTGCAACGCCACTGCCGAGTACTGACATTTCAAATATAACTAAGACATGTTTGCTACTTTCAAGTAATTTTATACGTAAAGTAATGTGATGAGAATTTGTGGTTTTATATTTAGTTAGGAAAGCAGTTTACCCATTGCCACTGTTAAATGGATTTTCTAACTGACGAGAAATTGTAAAGGCTTAGTTTGAGGTTGGTCTACTCCAGTGGGTCATGATGCATTTACTCGAGGCCTTGTACTTTTTGTATGTTTTCATTAGAATCCAGGACACAGAAGCCTGCTGTCTTTGAAAATGCTGCTTACTACATCTGGCATCCTGGTACTTGGCTGCATCCAACTTTATAAAGGTAGTATAATTGCCATTCAAATGTATATTATTGCCAATAGAAAGAAATCTGTGCTATCACCTCCAAGCCAGTAAGCACCAAATACACAGAATGACCAGTTGTCAATCAGTTCACCTTGGGAAAAGTGAGAGGCCATAGAGCCAGTTGGGAACAGCAAGACAAGGCAAGCTAGAAGAATATCAAAGCCTGCTGTCCTCGTGCACGAGAGCTGGTCTAATGCGAAAGCCAAGCAATTATGTGCCACCCAGTATGACCCACACTGCTTCTTGAATGAGATCTAATCAAAGATATTAACATATCTGATGCAAGCGTGTGCCTGCTAGAAATGAGGCTGTTCAATCGCAGAATCATAAAGAAGGGAGAGGCAAAGAGATAAACCCTGAGTGCCCCCGGTACTGTCCAGAACCCAGCCCATGAGCGTGAATGCCTCATCCATGCAGCAGGTGGAGCCCTGCAGTGAAGGAGGGGGTGACGTGCTGGCATGATTGAATGATGGTGAACAGAGGGAACTGCCTGGCCCCCGGCCCCCATCATGTGTTCACAGGAGCTCTCAATGTCTTGGAGCTCTAGGTAGTAGCTCTTTTCTTCCAAACTCTATAGTTTCCTAAGGGGTCAGAACCCTCTGGCCAAGGGATGAACACTCCTCAGAGCTTTAGTTGTGAGCGCTGGATTTTCTCTTGCTCCTCCCCTTTATCCTGAGTCTCACCCTTTTCCCCATTTTTCAAGTCTCTTTTCTAGTGCCAGATTTTCTTCTGAGATTTTTTCCTCAGCTTCTTTCTTGCCCTGTCTTCTGGCTGTCCAAATACTTAGCTGCCTCAGTCATTTTATAAATTAGGTGGGACATAAATGAATAGGCCACATGCTGACTTCTATCACTCACATTCCTTCCGGTTTCCCACCAGTTTTCCATGCGGGAACATGGCTTCCTTCCCTCCCATTTCTCTCTGAATTTTGGCTGAAGGACATTGGCACATTTCCTATCGATTGACTGAATACTCAACAGGCAGGGTATTCTTTCACATCTACTTTTTCTTTATTTTAAAAAATTACAGCACAGAAGTATATAAAGGTAAATAGTATTTAAAGTATATAAAATGCAAAGTAAAAGTTCTCTGCTTTTATAACATCTTCCGTATTCTCTGGACATATTCCCAGGTAACTGGTGTGTATACTGTTGGACCTCTTCGCAGCTCTGCAGGTGACATATATTTACCTATACATGCAATGGAGAGGGTTTTCTTAATAAGCCCCTATCTGCAAACAGTGGATTAAAAATTACAATGTCTGATTTAACACTGGTCAAAAAAAATAATTTTAACTAATATTTCTCAATTTTTTTATGACCCACAGTAAGAAACACATCTTACATCACAACCCAGTGCACAGATACCTGTGTATATGTAAAAAAGGAAACTGTGTTTATGAAACATAACCCTTGCCTTTACGGTGTTCAATTCACTCTAATGCTTTCTGTTCTTTCTATTTTTGTGTGTGTGTGTGAGGAATACTGTTGCTGAGCTAACATCTGTGCCCATCTTCCTCTATTTTACGTGGGACACCACCACAGCGTGGCTTGATGAGTGGTGCTAGGTCTGGGCCCGGGATCCAAACTTGCAAACCCTGGGCCACTGAAGTGGAGCATGTGAACTTAACCACTACCACCAGGCTGGTCCCTGTTCTGTTCTATTTTAACTCTATTCTTTTAAGTTAAAAAAAAAAAATGTCAGGTCAGCCCTTGGTGGCCTAGTGATTAAGTTTGGTGTGCTCTGCTTTGGCAGCCTGGGTTCGGTTCCGGGTAAGGATCTACACCTCTCGTCAGTGGCCATGCTGTGGCAGCAGTTCACATATAAAAAGAGGAGGATTGGCAACAGATGTTAGCTCAGGGCCAATCTTCCTCAGCAAAAATGAGTAAATAAATAAATAGAAATAAAAATTAAAATAAATGTCAGTGGCAACACTCTGGATTGATATTATGATTAACTAATGGATCGTGACCTATAGTTTGAAAAACACTGATTTAAATGGTTCACCTTGGAGTTTGTGTTTTCGGGTGATTCCTTGCTTTCCCATTTCTGAGTCCCCCTGCTTATTTTTGGATGATGTCTGAGTGTGCAGAGGTGGCTCCAGGACTCAGAGTGGTGGCATGTAGGAATCCCATAGCTCCCTCCTCACCGAACATCCTTGCACATACAATTTTTGTGTACTTGTGTGAGTATTTCTATAGTGTATGTTCCTAAGGGTGTAAAGGCTGGACTAAAGAGTGTGTGCCTTAGAAATCCGCATGTCCAGATTGCTTTCCTAGAAGTCACGGGTCTGTGTTGAGGAATACATGATGAATATGGGGGCTGGAGATACTGAAGGAACATGACAGAGTGTACTTACAGTCACTCTTGATGTCTAGCCAAAGTGCAGACGTTTTGTGAGTGTCTGTAATGGACACACCGCTTTGAAATAAACAGAGAAGGTGTGTCCTGACTGCTGCAGGAGGCTGCCCTCCAACCATGTTCTAAGCAGCTTCCCTGGCTACGGACCAGGCCTTCTTTCCTCATCAGGATCAGACCCTTCCCCATCGAGGAGTCTCCTTTGGCTCGATCTATCTCCATATTTCTCTAGGTTCCCACACCAACCATCCCGTGTTCTTTGTTTAACAGTTTTCCCAGCCTAGAATGTTCTTTTCATCTTTCTCTCCCTATTTACATGAAGTCCTGCTTGCTCTAAGGGCCACCTCAAATCCACTTCTCCAGAAGCCTTCTGAACCCCCTCAAGGCATGTGGAATTAACAGCCTTTGTCTCGGTTTCCAAGCACCTCGCTTTTATGGCAGTTATTTAATTATTCCTTAGTATTGTAAGTGAGTGTTTACTTTCCCTGCTCCAGTAAGATCCACGTTTCTTACCCTCGCCTGTGCATCCCCAGATGCTATAGACTTGCTCACTTCTCCTTCTCCACCTCGTACCACGCTCCCCTTTGCCCATTGGACGCACACCCATGAGCTTCATCAAGCTCCCCAGCAGCCAGGCCTGTTCCTGTCGCAGAGTTCACTCTTCCCCAGACTCACTCTGCAGGACTAGCTTTCTTTTGTCATTTAAGAGTCACCTCACTTTCTCAGAGAGCCCTTTCTTGGCCGACACCTAATCTAAAGTAGCCCCCAGTCACTCTCTAGTACGTAAGCCCATTGTGTTTTTATAGCACCTATTACTACGTAATTTTCTTATTTGTGTCTAACTAGCTCCACTATGATTTAAGCTCCCTAAGAGCCAAAATAGTCTCTGTCTTACTCAGAGACGTGTCCTTGTTGTCTAGAACAGTGCCTGGTACGCAGAAGGCCTTCAGTAAATGGATGAACAACATGAATGGAAGATGTATTTGTTCATGGAAGGACTTATACTGATATTCTTTAGATCTCTACAGTTCGGAACACATTAGCTTGAACATGGTTGCAGCTGCACGAGGTAGGTAACATTACAGACTGAGTTAATATAGCTTATAAGACAGTAAAGAAGTGAAAAATGAATAGTGGTAATCTCAGAATCCCCCCTAAAATGTGTGGCTATTTTATATAATGTAAATGCATATATAATTACTATTTCCACAAACAATAAGCCAAACATTAGTTTAATATCTACTGCACACAAGGCACTTTAAATTGTATTAGCTAATTTAACTTTTTGAGCGATCTTACGTATTATTATTTTGTTTGACTCGTTTGGTAACTAAGTTCAAAGTAATTTGCTCATGGTTCACAGTTAGTACATGCAAGAACTTGGGTATGGCCTGCTAACCCAGCCCATGCTATTTCAACAGATGCATAGAAATAATATTATAAAAATATCTGGAAGATTTGAAAAATGTATTGCTAAAAACAACTGTCTCACTTTGAGCTGATTATTGCAGTTTTTACATTTTACCTATTAAATATTTTTTTTCTTAAGAGTAGAATGGACTTTTTCTCTTTTTTTTTTTGACTTATCTGTTGGTTTCAGTGATCACAGAAAAAAGGTAGCCATCTGTTCCTTTCGTATTAGCACTCTCATTCTTAGGCAAGTCTGCATGGACACCCTTCAGGATATGTGTGTTCCACTGATGTGTTCATTTTTAGAATAGAATTTTATGATCTTGCATCTCTCAAAATGACTTTAATGTGGTTTTTAAGCAGGTACTCATTTTCTTTTTTAATGGCAGTGTGAGGTAATTTTTTAAAGGGATAAATGACAGTGTGGAAAAATGGTTACTTTTGTTGCATGTCACATGGCCAATGTCTAATTTGTTCATTTTCGGTCCTTGGTACAGGACTGACAACTCAGGCAGGCACGCTTTTTTGCTTTCCAACTTCATAAAATATTTTGAAAAGTCAGAAGATTTCTCTCACACACGCACACACACACACACACACACACATCCCTACCTCATTTTTCTTAAAAAATTGAAATATGCAGCAACACAGACTCACATTCTATGTAATCTTAATTGACAAGAGCTCAGTCACAGGCACTCCCTTCAGGTGGAGCTTGCTTTCTTGTTTGCCACTGTGAGGACTCTCTATTGTTTGTGTTTTGTTTTGTTTTGCTTTACATCCAGACCCGCTAGATTTGAGTTGGAGACTTCTGCGAGGCACTGGAATTTACTGGCAAGTCTTTGTGGTTACCCTTTCTTAGTTGACTGCACTCTAAAAAGTATAACAAAATGAGTTGATGACTTTGCTGCCACTCTGCTATTCCGACAATCATCCGGACAGGCTCATTCATTATTCTGCTGCCTGATTCTCAATCCCGGATTCATGTTCCAATCACTCGGCGGCTTTAATGTTACTGGGACGCAACATTAGAGATTCTAACGCGATCCAAGCGTGAGGTTTATAAAGATCTCCCCTTGTGTTTGGAATGTGCATGCAGGGTTGAGAACTCTTTGTCTAATTGGTGCATTGTATAAATTTTATTTTATTGAGCAATTCACTAACCCAAAACAATGAAAAATACTAGTGTTTAAGCAAATGAAACAAAAGGGGTGTAATTATCACCAGAAATAGCTGGGTGAAAGAATGAGCTGGTGAGTGGATGGATTCTAAGAAACAAGATGGAACCCTACTTCCAGCATCCTGCAGCAGCCTTGAAATCTGCATCAAGGTTCCCAGCTGTGCTGAGACTTTCTGGCTTGTCTTTGATTAGTATTAGAAGGAAGAGTCCCTGATGGCGCTGAAGAAATTTAGTTGCTTTTCTCTGAGTGTGAGCCTCTTTTTATACAATGTACAAATATGTAAATTTCACATTTGAAGGAAAGTTTGCAGAAGGTTTCACCATAGTTTTCCCGTACAGTGCCAGCTCTCCAAATAGTTTGTTACACGTAGGTTATAGATTTCACTTACGTACTTTTGGCTCTTCTTTATCACTTTCTACAGTGAAGATTCTGTGAAATTCTGTGCTTGTGAACAGATGTTAATTTTCATGGTTGATATTATTGTAGATAAAAATCTAACTTCAGAATAATTACTTTTCTTTTAGGTTACTATATGAAGCTGTTTTAAATCAGTTAGTGTATGCTAACAAAGGGCTTACCATTAAATCCTATATTCTTGAAATCACACGTTAAATAAATTTTATATTCTCAATCTAATTTCTAGAAAATATAATTGACCAATCCAGATATGCAATAAACTTCTAATTGAAAACCATAATTCATTTTGATAAAGTAATATTTCCATTACAAAATATGATTTAATTAAATAAAGCATTCAAAAGTAACTTGAATCCAAACCTTATTTCTTTATCAAAGTAAATGGCTCAGCAAACCCACTGTCTGCATTTATTAATTTTTTATGTTAAATTTTATACTTATGTTACATTATTACGTGATGTAGTTGCATTATAAATTTTAACTTTGCTTTAAATTATGCATTTACATTTTAGCCGTGCCTTAGTAATACATATTGAAAAGTATTTGAAATTCATACAATTTTAAGAATTCTGTAATTCATATTTTCCACTTAGACTAGTCTGCCCCAATTATTCCAGTTTGCTAAGGTTTTATTATATGTTTATTAATCTATCTATAAATCAATATTTGAAGAGAATTTTATGCAGATACAAACAACCCAAACTTGTCCTCAAAGAGGATAAGGCCAAAAATCTGTAGGAAAAAAGGTATTATAAAGGTGTGTCAAGCAGTGAATGAATAAAAATATGACATTATTTTCCTGGATTTTGTGGTGCTTGTGGCATGTCAGCTTTTTAAAATTTGTTGTGATTTCTTTGTTTATTCTAAAAAATGTTCACGCCCAACTGTATTTGTAATTTTGTGTTTGTTTTCTCATGAGATCTCTGCCACCTCTCCCCGCCCCGTCAGGTGTGTAAGCTTTAGGTCCCACACAACCTAAATCTGCTCCCATCAGTGGTCAAATGTTTTATTCACCACGTATTACTGAAGGAGCCTGAGCACACTGCTCCTGGGGACCCTCACCAGGCTGACACCAAGTTGAGTTGTTCAATAGCTAAAAGATAACCACACCACACTATCCCAC